TGTGACATTTTTGATTAGTGACTTTAGTGATAAGTTGTTTTAATTTAATTTTTTTATTTATTTATTTTTTTTTAATTTATTATTTATTTATTTTTAATATTAATTAGTGATTTTATTTGTAATAAGAAATTAACATTTAATTTTTATTAAATTTAATTAATTTAATTTTAATTTTTTTTTTTTATAGCTTAGATTATTACTAATAGTTATGTAATTTATTTTATTTTATTTTATTTATTTATTTATTTATTTATTTTTTAAATTATATTATTTTAATATAGTGATAACAAATTTTTAAGTGATTATTGAATTCATTGGTAAGTAGATTTATTTATTTATTTATTTATTTTTATAAATTTTTTTTTTTTTTTAATAATAACTGGCTATTTTATAGTAAGTAATATATAAGTTTATTTATAATTTAATTTTTATTTAAAATTTATTTAACTTTAATATATATTTTTTTGTAGATTGATAAATTAGTAATAGCTATAATAAGTTAATTTATTGTTTATTTATTAATTTATTTTTTTTTGTTATTTATTTATTTATTTTTAAATTCTATTATTTTAGAATTTATAATCTTAATGATAGTAACTGAAGTGGTAAGTATATTAATTTTTCTTTTTTATTTATTTATTTATTTTTCTTTAATATTAATTATTTTTTTTATAGAATTATTTGAGCGATTTTGTAGTAAGAAATTAGGTTTTAATTTATTAATTAAAATTTTTTGTTTACAGTCAACTCTTGTTATAGCGAATTCTTGATATAACGAATTTTTTGAACAAATATAATAAAAATACTCTTGTTATAGCGAATTGGCCAATCAAATCTCTTAAAATCTTCACTATAGCCTTATAGCGAAGTTGAGGTCTAGGACATAGAGTTTGTTATAACAAGAGTTGACTGTATTATTTATTTAAATTTATTATTTAAATTTATTTTTTTGTAGTTAATTTAATTAAATTATTTACTTATTGCAGAAGCTGCAGTAAGTTGGTTAATAATAATATATTTTAATTTTATTTTTTAATTTAATTAATTTAATTTTAATTTAATTTAATTTTTTTTTTTAGTTATCAAAAAATTAGCAGTTATATAAGTAGCTTTAATTTAATTAATTTAAATTTTTTATTTAATTAATTAATTAATTTAATTTTGTTTAATTTTATAGCTTTTTTTTTAGATTAAATTATTACTTAAGATATTAGTTATTGCAATAAGTCAATTTAATTTAATTTAATTTTTTTTTTTTAGATTTTTTAATAATAGTTAATTGGCATCTGCAATAAGTGAGTTTTAATTTAATTAATTTAAATTAATTAATTATTTTATTTTTTTTTTAGCTTTTTTTTGATAAATTAAATTATTATCTATACCTATAGTAAATATTAGCAGCTGTGATAAGTAGATTTTATTTTATTTAATTTTTTTTAATTTTTTTTTTCTGATTTCTTTAATAATAATTGATTAGTATCTGTAGTAAGTATGTGGATTTTAATTTAATTAATTTAAATTAATATTTAAATTAATTATTTATTTATTGATTTATTTTTTAGCTTAGTTGCAGCAAATATTGATAATTGTAATAAGTAAATTTAATTTAATTTAATTTTTTTATTTAATTTTTTTAATTTAATTATTTTTTTAGATTTCTTTAATAATAGTTGGCATTTGAAATAAGTGAATTTAATTTAATTAATTTAAATAAATAATTTAATTAATTTGTTAATTTAATTTTATATAATTTATATTTTATTTTTAGTTATAAAAGTTATTGAAGTTATAGATGAAACAAAATATAGTTATTATAATAATGATGAAAGTTTTAATTCTGAAGTTAAAATTAGTTCTTCACAAACTTCATCAAAATTGATTGTAATAAAATTACAAGTAGTGAAGTTTGAAAATATTTTATAAAAGATAATAATTATAAAAAAAACAAAAAAGCTATTTGTAAATTTTATAATAAAGTTTATACTTATTTAGGAGAAAATATTTCAAATTTATTAAAACATTTAAATAAATTTCATAATATACAAATAGAAAAGGTAAAAAAATTTTTAATGAATTAATTATAGATAGTGTTCTGCATGGATTCAGATCAGATCTGTCAGATTCAGATCTAATTTGGATTCAGATTCAGATTAGATCTGATCTGTCAAATTTGGATTCAGATTCAGATCTGATCTGTCAGATTCAGATTGGATTCAGATCTGATCCGTCAGATCTGAATTAAAGCCAAAAAGTTCCTTTTCAATGAAAAGGGACGAATTTTCAGACTTCTTTTGAGCCAAATATTTGTTTCCTTTCATTGAAAAGAAACGAATTTTTGGAATTTTTTTAAAACTGAAAAGTTCCTTCATTAAAAAGGAACGAATTTTTAGAACACTTTTAGAGTCAAAAAGTTCCTTTTATTGAAAAGGAATGACTTTTTAGAACTCTTTAAAGCTGAAAAGGTTTCTTTCAATGAAAAGGAATGACTTTTCAGAACTTTTTTAGAGCTGAAAAGGTTTCTTTAATGAAAAGTGACAAATTTTCAGACTCCTTTTGAGCCAAAAATTTGTTTCCTTTTATTGAAAAGAAATGACTTTTCAGAACTCTTTTAGAACTGAAAAGTTCCTTTCATTGAAAAGGAATGACTTTTCAGAACTCTTTTAGAGCTGAAAAGGTTCCTTTCAATGAAAAGGAACGACTTTTCAGAACTCTTTTAGAGCTAAAAATCTGTTTCTTTTCATTGAAAAAGAACGACTTTTCAGAACTCTTTTAGAGCCAAAAATTTGTTTTCTTTTATTGAAAAGAAACGAATTTTCAGAACTCTTATAGAACTGAAAAGTTCCTTTCATTGAAAAGGAACAAATTTTCAGAACTCTTTTAGAGCTGAAAAGATTCCTTTTAATGAAAAAAACGACTTTTCAGAACTCTTTTAGAGCTGAAAAGGTTCCTTTCATTAAAAAGAAACATTTTCAGATCTCTTTTAGAACTGAAAATTCATTTTTTCAATAATACTTTCAGATTCAGATCGGATCAGATTTGGATTTAAACTGATCTGTCAGATCCAGATTTGAGATTTGATCTGTCAGATTCAGATCAGATCTGGATTTCAACGGATCCGTCGGATTCAGATCGGATTCAGATCCTAAAAAATGAAAATCAGTCAAATCAGATTTTATCTAAATCCGATCTAATCTGATTTTGCAGAACACTAGTATTCGGTCATATCTCAGATGCACTGGCAACCTAACAGACGATCGCTAAGGATTAATTTCGGTAGAATACTAGCTGATCAAGTAGAATAGTGATACTCTACTGATCTAACTAATCTGGAGCGGTGATCACCAGCTCAGAAGAATTTGCTGAGCCATAGATTTCTATGCAATAATGTAATGGCCGATCACATAGTCAGTCTGTGAAACATTATTTTTTTTCACATATATCGAAAGTTATATATACTAACTAATACCTCTATTTTTTTCCCAAACAAATATGAGAAAAATGTGAAAGGAGATCTAGTTGCAACGCAGGACCAGCTCTAAAAGTAAATATTAACGTTAAAAGCATATGTTATGAAGGGCTGAGGGACCCACAATTTTGAGATCGTTAGGCATAAAACCAAGTTTGTATTTTTCGGTAGATCTACATGTGAAAAGGTATGAGAGTTCCGTTTACATGTGCTTTCATGAAACTCTTGGCATCAGACGATAATACTAATTACGCCTCATACCTTCTTAACTCTTTCCTAGCAAGATATAAAGCATGTAGTGGTATGTGGAAGTTCAGCCAACTTTTTGCAAAAAACTTTTCCAGAGAAAATAATGTAAAATAAGGTATGTATATGCTAGAAGTTATGTATGTATGGAAGTGAGTTTTCTCACTATGGGTCTTATATTTAGAAAAGCAAAATGGACGAAATCACTTTCAATTGTCTTATCGTTCTTATAGGAAAACTTATGAATATCCCTTGCGTTAAAGTAATGCAGGCGATTACAGTTGAAAAAGATGAAAGTCATATCATACTCGAAGCTATAATTCAAAGCAGATTAAGTGTTAAGATCCTACTCAAATTATGTATAATTCAAGCCGAAAGTAATAGTGAAAAGGTAATGGATAGTAGTACCCCTATTTCCAATTATTTTACTGAGAAGCCTAAAGCAGAGCACTTCCATATCACTGTATACCCCCAGTCAGAATAATCTTCTGTATCATATAGCGCTATAGTCGCAATTTTTATGTATTGTAAAGTTGCCTCTAGCAACCAACGTTTTTATTTCATAAATAAAGTATTATTTTATCGAACGTATATGAGAAATGGATCACGTGAAATGATGTAATCTCTGTGTGACTTAAAAACCTATATTAACGCTCAGCCCTTTCCCAAAAATAAATTTTTAACTCACTCTGGAACGTAACACTATTTTTTATTTGAGCCTATTTCCATTATAAAAAGCGCTATGTCTGTCTCTGAAACTAACACATCAGCTTCTACCTCTATTACGTCACTGCAACAGAAGAAAAAAATGCTCTTACTCAAGCTGAGATGGTTCAAAAATATAAAATGAAGGAGCTTATAGATTTCTTGCGCAAGGAAGAGGACTTGGAGCTTAGTGAGACAGCTATAAAAATTCTTGAAAAGGAAGAGATTACAGGCTGTGCCTTTCTCAAGACAACTAGAGAAGAGCTTCGCAGTTATGGAATGCCAGATAGACCCGCTTCAGACCTTGCAAACTTCACTAGAGAACTTGGCAAGCGTAAATTAAAGTCGTTCTCATCCTACAAAACCTTGAAAGACTTAAGTGAGATGCTAGAGAAATATGGGATTGTTAGCGGGAATATAACTCGCATTTCACAGATCATACCACGTAAATAATATCAGATTAAAGAGTTCTTTTTTTATATATTTCGAGCTCACATATCATAATATAACCACCTATACCATCAACGAAAGCGCCTCCGAATTTAAGCTATGCATTGATGACATTCTCTGTAGAATAAAAAATATGGGTCCAGTTGTAGATAGTAATGAAGCTATGCGGTGCGAGTACATTTCAACAATCTTACATACGGCTGTAAGTATTCTCAGTGACTTAGTAATCACATCTCAGGCGAATATAATTGGTGAAGAAAACACAGGCTGTGTCGACTATGCCATCAAAAAAATTATCAGTGAGATGCTGGAGGAAATAATTTGCATAACTGAAGGCAAACAAAATCAGGCGACTATGGGTATCTGCTAAAACTTACTACAATGTTGAAGTGCTTGTAATATAAGTATAACAGATTCTACTAGATCGCTCGCTATAAGATGATCATGGGCTATTGCTAACTTACTTCTCTATTTTCCTCAGATGAATATAAATATGAATAAGAAAAAAAAAGGTGGATGAGACATTTGATCGTAACTATGATTACGTCTATGATATAGTCAGTACTGAAACTGACTGGTATTTCATTCTCCATAGTACCGAGGGTATCTACTGTACAAGCAGGACTGAATATTGAATTTCACTAACAGAAGACGCTCTCAAAGATGATACAGAATTGCGTAAGAACGTGAAGAGGATTTTAGAAGTGATCGTAGGATTATTAAAGGATAGAGCAGTAGGTAGTGAGAAACTCGCAACTAAGAAGTGCCGTATAGAAGAGATAATCAATAAAAAATAATTGTATAGTAGATAGACATCACGTATCGTGAACCATGTTCACAACATTTGTATTTATTTTTTCATATATTAATAAAAAATTTTCTTGACAAATTTCAGTGAACTCGGTTCGCCCAAAATCACATGATATATTTTTTTATTTTGAATGCTTATATGCAGTATATTAGTTATATATAGACCATGGCATCTGAGCTTGAGTTATCGAAACAGCGTATCAGTGTCTGATGCTGAAATAGCTGAACTTAAGCACAAGAATAACGAGTTTCTAAGAGCAAATAAGGAATATAACGAGAGGCGTGATGCTGAAAATGCCAAACTCAGGGCCAGAATCGAGGAGTTGGAGAAAAACAAGGAAGATTCTTCAGCTGAGAATATTAGGCGTGATGTTGAAATTGCTGAGATTAAGGCTGAAGTAGTGAAACTAAGAGACAATAATGAGGAAAGTAAACAGTTAACTTTCTGTTAATCAGATGTTACTTCTAAAGAAATGATTTCAGGATATGATTAGAATACTATAGATGAGATAGAGCCTCAAAGCTCTGTTTTCTCGAATACTATTAATCTGGTATCAAATGTATATGAGATGACGGATGTGAGTGATCATGCTTTAGTGTCTTCGGATAAATCATCAGAGGAAAAAGAGACAGTCACTTTCTTGAATGAGGAGCATAAGAAAAGGGTTAGTGAAGAGATTAGGCAAAGGAATAGAGAGAAAAAACTTCAGCGAAAAAACGAACAGGATTTGATTCAAGAAATTAATTCATCCACGAAAGAAAAACACATCCTCCTGACTGTGACTGAAATTTCAGCGAACTTAGTTCGCCTAAATTCTTTAGCAGAGAGAAATGAAGAGCGAGCGGTCCACCCTGATATTATTAGTCTATATGAAACCGCGTGCGGTGCAAAAAAGAAAGCAATCAAAGTCAATAGAGAAGAAACTTTGTATTGATATTTCTATGTTAGAGAATTCAAGCACATGTATAAAGATTTTATGGTCAGCAACAAAGTTGGGGAAAAGAAAACGAAAGGGCAGGTATACGATTTTATTATCAAACAACTTTCCAATACTAAACGCAAAACTTTATGTAGGCAAACACAGAAAGCTTTGAGGATTGATGATTTATTTGAAAAAATAGGAATGGATAAGCTTCAATACATAAAAACATATAGTGCAGATACTATTTCGAAATTTACTGTTCCTTAGATTCAAACAATTATAGATTACTTTACCGAAAAACCCAATATAAAATTCACTAATGAAGCTGAGGATGAAGAACAAGATAACGAGGTCCCAGAGGGATCCGATCAGAATAATGTATTGGTGGAATCAACTACATCTATTCCATTAGCCCATGATTCTAATTCTTCTGATAATTCCAAGGAAGTCAGCCCAAGTAATCCACTCGAAGCTGATGGCGATTTTTACAAAATGCTTTTGAGAGATTTTGATAAGGAAGTTGATTCCACACCCCAGTCGGTGAAAGAAATGAATGAAGAGATGTCAGACGATTCGGATGATGATGGATATAATGGATATAGTGGATTTAATGAATATAATGAATATGGTGAATGTGATAGAGGCTATTATTATTGTAATGGAAGGTACGAAAGAAAAACCTCCCCAATAATGAGTCCTATTATCTCACCGGTAATCGCCTAGAGGTGAGCATTATCATTTCTTTTTTTTCGAATCACGTGGGTAGATTATGCAATGTAATGAAAAAAATATACTCCTGCTTATCCACATGATATTCACATGAAAATTTGATACGTATAGTAAATTCAGCTTCTGTATGACATAGATGATTTTAATCATTTCTAGCAGTGATTGGATGCTACATAAAGTATTTAATGATGGATTAGACCATTTTTAACTCTCAGGAAAGTCCCGCTCATTGACAGGATGATGAATGAAATTACGAGCTACATGTTCTCTCTATTATCTAAAATTCCGGCCAGATACGCTTCTTCAAACATATTCTCTCTATTACCTAAAATCACAGCCAGATGCATTTCTATAAATGCAAGAATGGAGGATTCTATGGGTAATGTTTTCAATGTAACCCTTTCTCATTGGAACGTAAATTTAAGCGCAGAAGAACTTAGGAAACAGAATGCTATAGTCCAAGAGTTAGCACTACGCATGTTGAAATCTCACCATCACTATACCAGTTCCTCTGTATCAAGGAGAGCTATAGCGAAGAGAACTGTAGAGGAGAGAACCACACCTAAGAAAACCATAGTGAAGAGGAGAAGCGTTAGAATTAAAACATGAACAAGAAAAAGTTGTAGTTTAAATGAGTGGCCGAGATTTTTATTAATATGGATGCATTCATATATATAGCTTTATGTCTTTTTATATGCCTCTGGTTCTCGAGAAAAATCTGTCATATTATAGAAAGTGACATTTTTTTTTATGTTAATCGAAACCAGTTTTTAGGATTCTGCAGAGATGAAGTCTCATTATTCTCTTCAATTCGAAAATGTACTGTATACTGAGCTTAGAGCAATAGAATAATCAGGATCGGATAATCTTATGAAATGCAGAACCTAGTTTTTTTAAATCTAGTTTTTTTAAGTCTAGTATTTTCTTATGTCAGAGTTTTTTAAATGATGAAAGGCGATATGAATCATCGTTTCTTATGTCTAGTTTTGTTATGCCATAGCTGATCAGTCTAATAAAATTGCGCCACTTATATTTTTTAAAAATTCTGTCCTATCATGACTATGTATCATTATTTCAATTTTTCTGATGACATAGTGAAACCTCAGAATAGGGGCTGTGTGACATGCGAATTGCATATCTGATATATATATTCACATTTTTTTTTCTACACCACATCTAACAAAAAATTCTTTCCATCGAAGCATTATTCTATTTCTTCCTCACGCTACTGTCATACTAGCAAAACAATATTCGGATATAGATGTTTTTCAAGCGATAATCATTTCATATATAGGATTTGGGATGTATATATGCTAATCATGAAGTCATTTTTATCAATTTGCAAGAGGATTAACGGAATAACGAAATACAGTGCGTCATTACTAGTGAAAATCTGGGGAATGTTTTCTCCTGCGAAATTTAGAAGTGATATAAAAGAGAATGATCATTTTTTCGCTTAAGACTCTTCAGCCAGTGTTGGGAAAACCTGCTCAGACACTCAACTTCTTATAGATCTATCAGGCGTAACTGGTCGGGTGAGTTTTTTTTTCTCGGACAAATTTCCCAACACTGTCTTCAGCTATACACAAAAACGATATAGACAGAACATATATTATAGCGCTCGCAAAAAATATCCTCCATTATACTAGCACCCTTGCTACGCATATCAGTATCCCAGAGGTGAATCCATGCTCATTATGTGGAAAAGAGATTTATTCGCATCCGTATTACAAAGAATTTACCCTAGCTTCATGTGGACACATCTTTCACCAGAAGTGTCTTGAAAAGTATCTGATGAATAGAGAAGCGCGATGCTCAAATAAGGATTGTAATAAAGATATTGAAACTTTTCTCTTACCAGATCTTTTTAAGGAAAAGGGATCGCAAGACAAACCTTCAACTACTGATGAAAATACCACCTCCATACTGGTAGATTCGGAAAATGCAACTCCTGTAGATCAGGATGCTAATGTAATTGCTATGAAAGAGTTAGGATTATTAGGTGAAGAGGAGCAAAGTTCGTCCAAGACTACTGACAAGGCATCAAGCTCTATTCAGATCATTAAAGAAACTTCTGACCAGGTAACTAGCCTTATTGAGATTGTTAGCATTACACCTGACAATTTCAAAAATCTGGATGACTCGATTTCAAAGGATACTAGCGGTCAAATCTGACATTCTATATGTGAAAAATGCTCTGAAAAAATCTCCCTAGAATTCACGAAACTAACCATCTTTTACCATACAAATATGTTGTGCATTACGATTGCATTAAGGATTCTCGCAAGATGTGCCCTACCTGCCCTTCGTTTGAAATGATGTCAGAGACAGTTAGCTTTGCTAACACCGATCCGAGTGATGCACAGAAAAAATGTATTAAGGAATTATCCGCATATACCGAAAAATCGTCAAGTAAGAAGCAGAAGACATCTAATAAGGAAGGAGTCCCTTCTATGTTGAAAAAACTTATCGAAGAGTTATTAACCGATAATTCTAATAATGAAGATTTGGGAGAATCAAATGCGACAGATGCTTCCTTAAATTCTGGTAATTTTTTTCATCTATCCAGTATGATAGACCAAGCCGAAGAAAAAAATAAAGATGCAACACAGAATGTCATCAATCGATATTTTGACTTTGGAGAGGCTTTACACTTGCGATATAAGAAATTAAAACCCAGTTATGGTAAGTATGGAGCTGAAGCTCTCGTTAAAGATGAAGTTAGGAAACAAATCTCTGTAACAGAGCTTTCTGATGAAGCTTTGCGAAAGAGGATGGAAAGGGCCGAAAAGGTCTATAAGCTTTTTAATGGTATTGGTAAATTGAAAATAGCACGAATTAGAACTTTTCCCGCTAGATTTATATTAAATTTATTTGATAATAATGTTTATCATGTAATAGCTGATGTCTTGGCCGAAGGCGCTAAAGCAAGAGCAAATCAATAATTCATCTACTGCGCTACATTACTGCGCCTGCGCATGTGTGTCCAGATTTTTCATTTTTGAGTTGTTATGCATAAATAAAAAACCCATATCGGGTTTTGTCCTTTTTTAATCTGTGTATTGGTGTGTAATATTATCTCTATGATTTTTGATCTGTGGGTCTGATCACTTGCTAGAAAGATGCTTCAGCTCAGAATTAGTCAGCTAGTATTTTCACGTGTCATATTTACAGTACTATTTATATTGTGCGAGTACCAGATAAATATACAGTCAGAACTCAATATAGCGATCCGCGATAAACTGATTTTAGCCCATAACAAATTTTATTCTTAAACCAAAACCACTTATAATAAAATTTATCACTATATAGCGATTTTATTATAAATTTCGCGATATTGCATATACTGAACTCTGGTTGTAAACCAGCTATAATTATTTATTCGCGATAAACTGATAACGATTTTTTTCTCGTTATACTGATGGTCGTTATAAAAAAATGGATTTTTTTCTTGATTTAACGATCAATCGTCATCGTTATAAAATTTCACTTTAATATATCGAAATTATACTAATATAGCAAATATCAAATTTTAGATAAATTAATATAAATATAAATTGAAAGATTTTATTTCTTCTATTGATCATCTTTTACCATGTCTTCTAAAATAAAAGTAATATATTGTCTATGGGACAAAAGCAAGAACTTTGTCTCAAAAAAAATAAACAATCAGGATCTTCAATTATATAAATGAGTTTATTAGTTTCAATTAGATTTTTTTTTTATTCCCAAATTATACAAATAAGAAATAGTATAGCATATAACATGCAAATAATAAATAAATAATAATCAAATAATAACTACATTGCATTTATTGCAAAAATTTGATATAATAAACTTTTATTTTTTTTTATTATTTAAATCGATATATCAAGAAAAACTTGTTATTCCGAATCCTCATTATAACGAATCAAAATCATCAAACCAAAAGGTTTGTTATATCGAGTTCTGACTGTATTATCCTTTTTACATTGCTTCGAAATAATTCAGGATTTTCTTTGATGGCAGATTTCGTGAGATTAATCTGGTATTCACTACCACTTGTACAGTAATACCATCTGGAGTATATATTATAAAATGTCACTCCGCTCCTGTGATCACAATGCCATAAAGATAGTCAAAGTAATCTTCATTAAATGCTTGATCCGCAGTTCATTTTTTCTTATTTGTTTGGAATGCACTTTCAAGTTGCGTCAGATTCTAAGAGATAAAATACATCATCCTTTGTCTGAACGCCTTCAGCTGTAATTATACTCATTAAAACAATATACTAGGAGGATAAGCAGACTTACTTGAGCATATCCAATTTTAATATTACATGGTTTCCCTTCGGTGATACAGAGGAACTCTTTCAGACTTTTGATTGTGTAGTCCACTCGGCCTGTTGCATCTTCACCAGAAATATCTTTTTGCAAAACTATAAATATATCTTGAGAGGTAAGGTTTTTAGCTATAGCGATGGACGCATGTAATATTGCTAAAATAAATTCACAGTGTGTCGTCTCGTTATCATCGGTCATGCTTTCTAAATTGAATAATTTTAGAATTATATCATCTATGCAATGACTAAAAGCTTTATCATCATCATTAATTTCCTCGAAGACTGCGAAGAAGAAATAAGGTTAGCATAACTAGTCAGTTCTAGAAAATTTATTAATTACTCACTGGAAGTAAACTGTTTGATGTTTGTTATATCCTCCCCATTGACCTTATTTCTACGTAATATTCCTTCAGGTTGTTGAGAGTTTTAAGCGAGGAATAGTTTCTTATTTTTTGGCCAAAACCTTCAATGAATTCTGCGAGAACTATTGCTAGACCTAACGCGAAGCTAATACTGCGAAAGTCCTCTTTAGTTAACTTAAGAAAGGCTAGACCAGTGATTTCTTCCTTGCATAAAATTTTAAAGTAAGATTCCTTGAGCTTCAGGTCTTTCCTCCCCAAATAATCGATAAGCTCCTCTGTATTAAAATCCTTAACCACGTTCAACATTGTTCTAGTGGATATTTCTTCCATTATTGAGGTGGGTGAAGAAGCTTGTGAAGACATAGCATTTATATATGCTTGTGTTTGTGCTTGCGAAAAAAATATGCACTCGACTGCAGTTACAGGTAAAGCTGATTTATGGATATAGAAGTATTTTTAGTATCTGAAGTGAAGCGTTCAGAGAGAAATAATAGATTTTTTGTATATGCATTTATCCAATATATATGCAATTAAGATGTAGTACAGGATTGTTAGGCGATTGTATTACATCATTACACATAACATTTATCAAAGATTTATGACAAGAACTTAATACATGCTTTATTTATAAAATAAAAACGTTGCCAGAACCCAGCCTATAATACATAAAAACTATTACATAGCATGATAATGAAATACTGCTAAAGCAGACTATTGGGGGTATATGAGGATGAGACCCTCTTCAATATGGTCGATATTAAAATGCTTAGAAATCATGTCATCCAGTTCTAACTCTTTTACCGGTCCTTTTGGATTATTCACGTAAAGTTTAATCTTATCAGGAATCTGCTTATAAAGTGTTGCCATTCCTTTTTTAATAGTGGGTATGACGTCTTTGACCAATGTTTACCAGGCTATTTTGATTA